TAACTCTCTTTCTAAGATGCCGGTGAAGTGTTTTTTGCAGTCATGGTTCAAAGCTGGGCATCACGAATACTATGGCAGAGGACACGGGACTTGGTATGTTCCACAAGGTCTCCCTGACGCTCCGACCAGGTTGCGGGAATAAGCCTTAATTTTCAGTATTACCATAACTACAGACTGAAAATCGGAATACTGAGGAGTTTGATCATCAGAAGCTTACGACTAACGGACACTAAGTTCTGGGACGAGGATTTGGACAAACTGACACGGATTTGCTTTAATAAAGGGTATCCCAAAGAATTTATATAAAAAAATGTAGAAGTTATTAAGGGCAGATTTTAACTCGGATTTTATAAAAATTAGATCAGGAATCATGAGGACGACCAGAAGTGGATTTGCCGGCCCTCATCAGAATTGAGCCACAATTGCGACCGTTACTTAGGCAATGGAATATCAAGGTATTAACAAAGGAGTAGATAACACTTTTCATCAGTCTGTCGACATAACACGAGAAGACTGACAAACTTTATTGCTCGGGAGTTTATCGCATCGAATGCGGCAACTATGAGCAGAAGTATATAGGTGAGACAGGAAGAAAAGTCTGCCTACAAATCAAGGAACATCAAAGACTATGCAGGAACATGGATACGGAAGGATCCAAAATAGGGGAACACATTGCACGAACGAGACACGAAATCGACTGGAAGTCGACCGAAAGGCTGGCTGCATATGGTGAAAATAGGAGAAAACGCAAGATCCGAGAAGCCATCGATATACTGACCGAGAGAAATCAAATGAACAATAGATTGAAGAAGGTAGTATTAACAAAAACTTTGTGTATTACCTAATAAACTCAGAGAAGACCAGGCAACAGTAAGATCAGCAAAAAGAAGACAATTGTTCAAGTTAACATCTTTGATTTTATCAAGAGGACGAGAAAGGAACAATCAGAAGCCCAGAAGAGACGTCTTCAGTAAGCCTAATCAAAACAAGTAGACCTACAACATTTGTGGGTTGGCACACAAGAGACTATGACATAGGAAGGGATAGATTTGGTATTATTATTAGAAACAGGATAGATGCGGTAGAGGCTAGAGCTAGTTGGCTAACAATAGACGTGTTTCATGGACCACGTCTATGATAAAATACATATATTGTTAGCCAAATAGCTATAGTCTCCACCACGTCTATCTCGTGGACTGCGTCAACCTGAACGTCGTATAAAAGCCAAAAGGCTGCAGTACAACGGGATTTATCCATCCCCTTCTGGTGACATCAACATACGAATCTCTTCTTCATGCACTTTTATATAAAATGAAAGTCCCTCCAACAATGTTCACCGAAACCCAGTTTCTCTTCCTATCCTGTTTCTATCCGTAATACTAGACCGATGAATTCCTATGCTCTAGTCTCTTGTTTGCCAACGCACGAATGTTATGGTTAAACATTGAACCTAATCAAAGCAAGCAGAACCACAATATTTTGGAGTTCGCATGCTAGAGACTATGGCATAGCAAGTTATAGACTTGTTATTAAGGATAGAAACAGGCTAGACGCGACGGAGACTGGAGCTTTTTGGCTGACAGTAGGCTTGTTTTACCATATTATGAAATAATAATATTATTTATCTTAAGCTTATTTCTACTACTTAAATATTTATAACAGTAAAAGTTAATATTAAATATATTTTACCTCTAGATCTTGCTCATATCCTTTGTCGCCAGTATGTTAATTCATGCTTCCCGAACTATTTAATTGGTTTTAGATCTTTTGGGAGTCTTGTATCACTATTTTTACGATTTACTTCTCTCATTTATTTGCTTCTTTTGTGACCCCCTAACATCCATATATTAATTTTACATAGATTACTCTTTTGTTTTTTTATTTTGGATATCATTTTCACACCATTTTTCATATTCCGAATTTAGTAGATTGATTTTTCAATTATTAGACATATAATTATATTTATTTTTCCAAGTGTATTCATATTCTTTCAGCTAAAATTCTTGGTTTTTACTTACATCCCCTAGAGAATGCATTATAGTCTATAATCTATCATCCTTTGTTTATTTAAATCCCATTGATAAGTCTCCCCAATTCATCATTAGTTTTCCCTGTGAATCTGTTTTGGATAAATTTGAGCTACACACAATTTGGGTAAAATTCCATCCGATATCATGCTAAGTGGATAAAACCACCAAAAAGATCTCTTATTGTGCGCTCAGTAGTTAATATAAATGCTTTTTATCTAATTATGCTGGTTCTCCTTTTAATCCATCCTATATAAATCTTCATCCTTCACTAGGTGGACTTTTTGCCCTCGGTGCTAACAGCACTCACGACGCATGGTTTAAACGCGGCATTGAAGTGACTAACACGTGTCGCAAATCATATACATTTTCTGCTTGTGGTCTTGGACCAGACGCATTTTGGTACACTAATGATGTAAAGTTTGTTGGTATAGGTGCCTCTGATAATCACTACTATCTCCGTCCCGAGACGGTGGAGTCTTATTTTTATCTCTGGCGTCTGACCAAAGACCAGAAGTACAGAGACTGGGGATACGACGTGATTCAGGTATTTATTCTCATGGGTCTGTATTTTGCCCCCTATTTAGTCTTAATATATGTTAATCTTACCGTTTTTAATTTTTATGCTGCTCTAATTCTACAGGCCTTGGAGAAATATTCGTTCACAGGATCGGGTTATTCTGGCCTCCTCAATGTATACTCATTTCCCCTGCAACTAGATGATGTGCAACAAAGCTTTTTTCTCGCCGAAACACTTAAATATCTCTACTTACTCTACTCCGAGGACACACTTTTGCCTTTGGATAGGTGGGTTTTTAATACCGAAGCTCATCCATTCCCTATATACGGAAAAGTGTTATATCCTTTTCCCAAGTAAGGGCAGCACTTGATTGTTTGAGTCTCTAAATCCTTTACTTCCCAAGTACTCCTGTGCCAAATATAAAAAAAGAGCCTGACTGCATCTTTCAACGCATAGAACTGAATTTTCGCGCTACTTAATTTATATCCATCTCTTCTTGTAGTTAAATTATTTTTAATCTGTTCCTGCTAGGCAGCATTTTAAGAGGTAACTAGTGATTTAAATTTTCTAGTTCTTTTATGAACTTTTATGTCCACACTTAATCACTAACATTCAATGACCATGCTATCTAAAATTATTTCCCCTCTTTCATAATGCTTTATCTTTACCATAAATTATAAATGCTAGCGTTATATCCTTTATAGAATACTTTTAGTGTTGCTGCAAGAGAACATTCAACTCTCACTTTGATATCACAAGTAAACAAATACATTCATGTGCGCACACTGGAGTCTTTCCTATATATATAAAACAGATTTAACCTAGGCTAAACGCTGATGATGGTTCAGCCGCCAATGGTGTGCCTTCTTACCCAACTCGGTTGGATCTACTTCTTTTAGTTTGTCTCATGCCTTTCGACGAGTTTTAGAAGATGCGTTTCTGGACTTTATTCTTCGCCAGCTAGGGAACTCGTGCGAATAGATCGTCTCATTAAGAGCTGCATCTAAATAGGCATTGCAGATTATTTTTTTTAGGCTTCCTCTTCCATAGGATCTCAGAGAGCTGTTTTTTGTTCTTGTTCTTCCTTGCATTACTTTTATAAACAAAAAAAGCACTATTGTACTCAGACGATGTTTTCGCAACTCATATACCTTCTTGTTAATCACCAACATTCATTAAACACATGTTTTTTCCTAATATTCTTTCGTACAAACTAAAGCAAGCTGTATAGTTTACTTAAAGATCCCTTTGTCTTTCGGAGATTTTGTAAGATTTTATACATGACATAAATTTTCCTTTGCACTAATACTTCTCTGAAGCTAATTGTAATTATCTGCCGTCTTACATTAGGCTAAATTTAGTCTACTATACGTGATTTTTAGGCATAAAGGTGATCATTTATATATATAAGAGTTTGTGAATTTTATTGACAGCAACTAAGCCTACGTAATCTAGTTTTAAAGTATAAAAAATCCATTGTCATTCTCAAATATGTAACATCAACAGATAAATTACTATCGGCTCTCTTCGCAGTCGTTTATGCTATTTTTACTCTTCCTATACATGAGGATAAAAAAAATGTATTTCTGTCAAGATATCAACATTCCGTATTCTATTTCCTAACCCTTGTTCACTGTTACGGTTCGGGGAAGATTTTTTGTTTTGAAACTGCTTATCGAGTATATATGTAAATCAATAAGTATAGCACTTATGTAATATTATTAATTTAATATTTTCACACTTTTCCACTCAACTATTTCATTCAGCCAGTATACCCTAGTCTCGTCTGCGTGTCTTTCGTTTTCTTTCTCATTTGTATTTCTTTCCCATCATTTACTTTCTTATTCCTATAGTGAATCTGTAATATTTTTTGCATATCTAACTGTCTTGTTTATGTGAATTTCTTCTTCCAACTTCAAAATTTTTGCTTAACTGTTCTAATTAGTTCTCTTATTGTTTTATACGAGGGTTCTCAGTTTGTCTTGAGTTATGGCACTAATAAATAATTTTTTTCCAATTTTGATATTTTTTAAAAATAGTGCAACTATTGATCTTACAACTGATCAGCCAAAACTGAAGGTAAAATTGTAGGGGAATATAATATCAAATCAACAATATCCATCGTTTCCATTGTGAGGTCACGGGCTTATTAGTTTTTCTAAGAAGCAATAAGAACTTGCCGAAAGTAGTTACATGATGATATCATCCCTATTATTCTTATGCCTTTTGCGTACAAAATTGCCTTTGTTTTATTCCTGAAGTTTCTTGATTGCCTAATCTTGAACGGCT